TCTTTTCGTTTCGTTAACCGATTAATTGATAATTCGAATGAAAATCGGTCGTCACTAGTTGAATGTGAAACGTCATTTCAAATATATGGACCGTACATAAATAATGATACAATTTGAAAGGGACCGGGGCTCATCACAAATTACGTCCACGCGGTAACTGAAATTAACACGAGTGTTCACCGGTTGATGTAGGTGTAGGTCAATGTAGGTCTCTACTGGAATTTTTTTTTAGTATTTTTTTTTTTCTATAATTTGGTCAATTTCCTAAAAGTCATCCACACAACACATTTTTGAAGGAGTTGTGATTTTTTCCATAGTATTTTTTTTGAAAAAAATCGGCAAAAAAAATTTAGCCCTTCTCAAAGGTTAGTCTAGATAAATTTTGGAAACACTAAGTGTATGCAAAGTGGCTTATTTAGTCAAGGTCCACACATCCAGAAAGTTTCATTGAAATCTGAGAGGGTGCTGCCAGCTCCGAATACGATTTGGAGCGAAATGCGTCTATAAGTCGAAAATCTGGCTCGGACGGAGAGGTTGAGGCTCCGCTTGAAAACCATTGGCCACAATTTTTGTCGTCGATGTGGCTTTCGTCTTTCGATTTCCCCGCGATCCAGGCTTCCTGGCTCTAAACAAACGTTCTCCGAACACCTTTATTACGTTGGTGACAGTTGATTTGGTCACTTTTAACGATTTCGTTAACTCGACTAACGAGTAGTTCAGATTTTCATGATGCTCGTGCAAAACTTTGATGCTTTGCTCCTCTGCTTGGACGTCATTTTGATAGTCGAAGAGCAAATGTCAAAACCAAAACAGAGGCATCTTTCTGCACGCTCACACCTACAAAAAGCGCGGTGTTCAGGTTTTTTTAATGCTCGAGTAAAAGAAATGCGTTATTGCAATTCTTATGTATTGGTAGGGCAAACTACCTATCCATGGAGGAACTGTGCACCAACGAAATCAAGATGGTCAGACTAATGTTTCACGTGCATTTATTGCTCCCCCATAGGTCCGACACTTTTCTCCTCATGACGCCGCATGATCCTTCAACTCACTCCTACCAATTATTCTGTCTTCCCTGCATCCTCTCCCTAATTAATCCATCTTTTCTTTCTAACTATAATGTCTTCTTCTGGTGAGTACTCACTTTACCGGCCGGGTGCACCCTTACCGCTGGTCGAGCCTGGCTGCTGGTGCCGAGCCCCGTCGCCTCGATGGCACAAACCTCCAACAGGGTTTGAGGGTTCCACGTGCGTTGCGGACTTCGATGCAAGAACCGTCGCACGATGATAAGATGACTCTACCCGATGAGCAGCTGAAAGCCTATAACAGAAAAAGCCCTGGAACGACTTCCGTTAGTTGCAATGCGACGGACCTCTAGCATTGAGGCACTTACTTCATTTGAAGGCTTCCGGTTTCGAACGCAGCTATTCACCGCCGTCAGGCACTGTCCAGACTATCGCGTCTTGCTATCGAGTGATTGATCTGCGTTAGCTGGTTCGAGAGCGGACGTTCGAGAGCACGTTTTGCCGTCGATTTCTTTTTTCGTGCGTCTTGACGCTTCTCGTTGCCAGTACGTGTGGTTGGTGTGACGAAATCTATACCAAGAAACATATCAAAATGGCTTCCAGCTATTGTACGTCCACAGTACCCACCTTCAGCTCATCGCAGTCTCCGAGAGGGCTGTTTTCGTTCCGGTTATCTTAACCGCTGCTGGACTTCCCAGAAACCGTCGGATTCCAATCGAAGCTTTAACCACTACCGAAACAGCAGCCCGCGCGACGATAAATTGTGCTACGCACTCTACTCGCACTCGCGACGGCCAAAAAAGGATTGTTCGACTGACACCGTTTCTTTTTTGCGTGCTGTTTGCACGGCAACCTTTCCACTTCTGCCTTTTGTCGAGTCCTATGCGGGTTGGTGAGAGTGTGTGTGCGTGCGGAAACGTAGTCAGCAAAATTCCTGAAGAATGGTGTTTGCCAAATAATTTGCGATCCTCGTCCGCTTTCAAGCGATGCGTCCCATGTGGCATAGTTTCGCTGCTGCACGTTCGATCGGATCTACTCATTTTATTGTGTTTCCGACACCAGTTTAGTGCTGACCATAGGAGCAATAATACGAGCCAAGCTAAAACGTAACAGCGTGCAAGTTTAAGTCGACCCTTTATTTGCTGCACTATGTATTGAACCTAGTATTACATATTTCCTCGCCTTTTTGGCTGAATATGGTTAAGATCTGGAATTGCGGGAGAGCTCTAAAGTTTGTTTGTTTGAAAATTCAAAAATAGCACAAGTTTGACTAAACCTCGATTCTAAATTGAGTATTCTAAGCGAAAAAAAATGGGACAGAAACTGTAAATAGAGTCGGCTCCTATACAAACAGTTGTTATTATTTACTTTAAACCAAATGCTCCGCACATATCTGATGATCTTGATATATATGTTCGTAGGTTTGTGCGGAAAACTTGACCTAAAGTAAAATAATAATAACTTTTTGCTCAGAAGTCAAATCGATTTGCGATCTCTGACAAAGTTGTTCTGCATAGTATTACCAATCCGCGTTCAAAGTTTGGTCAAATTTGAGAATTTTTGACAAGCAGATGAATAGGTTTGTTCCGTTTCCCATACAATTTTCCATACAGAATTTAAAATTCTCCCACAAATCAAGATCATAACCAAATTCGTTCAATTAGGCAGTTTTTCATCTAAAGAACAATGGGAAGCTGGTGTGATCCACTATGCAAACATGAGCCACCCTAGGTTTCATGGATTCACTCAAAATTGTGGGTGGCTTCCATAGACGTGTGCAGGCTTCTTCATGAGGGATGGCAAGCCAACCAATAGAGGCGCGTTTCATATTCTAGGCGGTATCGGTGATCAAGATACTGACCACCAGATACCACTACAGCGCTGGCATCGGATCACTTTGACGTTTCTATACATTCTATCGAACTTGTATGCAACATTGTTTGAGACTTGGCAACAATCTTTTCTTCCCTGAACAGCTCGCGAGATGTCGTTGGTGAGTTCAGTGATGATATCTTTAAGGTTAATTTATTCAAAGAGATACGTCTGATTGTCTGTGGTCTGAACGATCTTGCTGACCCGTTTCTGAACCTTGATGAAACCCCTCAAGTTTCACTGCGCTGTGACTGCACGATCAAGTCCCATTTTTCTCGACCAGCTCCATGCCATCCAATGGGAAATTCACCGTATTCAACGGTCCCATAACTGACCTTGCCTCAGATCACCATGACCTTACCGTACCAGCAGAGCCATCCAGCCAGCCAGATTAGCTGCAATTTGCGCCCTTCGTCTTCGTTCCCACAATGGGCGAAAGAAAAACGGCCCAAGGCAGCGGTCACCATAATTAGAGGGCCCTTGCCAACAACCATCGACCTCGAAAGCTAACCACCACCGCAGCCAAAATACCTTCCACGGCAGGTAGTAGCAACGTAAATGGGCAGTGCTGTAACCCCAAAATGGTCAATGTAATACTCAGTTATGTTGCTGCAATTAAAACCTCCGGGCAATTATCGCAGGGATCGAACAGTCTGTTGAAATACGCAAAGCACGATCGGCCCCCTCCCTACTCAGCCAGTTAGAGGAATCTACGCAAAACTGCAGTCGCTGAACGTCGATCTGAAAACCCCAACAGAAGCGTTTCATAATTTCCAGCCAATAAACTCGCGCTGGCATATTTTACAGCTTCAATCTAAAAGCTCCAGTTCGCTAATTACCCCAAGTACAGTGCACTTCCGGTTCCGTCCGACGGATAAGCAGCCGTTTTGGCCCGCAGGTATAAGAGTTTTAACGAGCAATTATAACATACTTAGAGCTTACGGTAGTCGAGCCCGCCGAGCCGCAGCAGTTCGGGAGCAGCCCCCGGGACGCCGAAGAAGAAGAAGAAAATCCCCCTTCAGCGCAGCCTGATCCAAAAAAAAACACTAGTTAATTTCCCCTCGTTTGAGCTCACTGATCGATATTTGCTTCCATTCATTCATCGATTCAGCTTTCCCCCCAGTCCCCATTCATTGACGTGGATCGAACCAGCTCGCTGACTGGTGCGTTGGCAACGCAAGGGTATTTACAAATTTTGACTAATTCCCGTTTTCCGCGGAAAACATAAATCGGCCGCGAATCGAGGCGCTCCAGACACGTATGGATGAAGTAAAGCTAAGCCACTTTGCATATGTTGGCTGTTTTAGAGAGCAGCACCTCGTTCCAACCTACGCGGTTTGAGTCTCGGAGCGCACAGCAGAGTGCCTTTTCAGTTTTAAATAAAAGCAGCACCGTTTAGGCTATAATTAATTCATCGAGAAGCTACGGAGAGGGCGCTGTTCACCGAGAGAAAGACGTTAAAAGGAGCAATGCTAGCCGTAAATTGCAGGGTTTTATTATAATTCCTGCCAGAATGTTTAATAATTATAATCGTAAGTGTGTGTATAATTGTATTATAACTATTTGCCCAGCAAATATTGCAGAAATGGACGATGAATGGCTCGCTGACGGCTGTGAGTGATGGTACGTTAGACCGTACCGTTCGGCGTTAGCATATGTGGGTTTTGTATGATGGCAGCAGCATGGTGCTCCGTTTTGAGGTTGGCTCGAGTTGAGCTAAAACATGGCTCAATGATGGGTGGGCCAAGTTTAGCATGAATGTGTTTATCGATTATCTTCGATCAGCGTTGACCCATGACGGAGGAGCCACAGTAGGCAAATATGACCTGGCGGAGATGAGGAATCGAACTAAAAGCTGTGCTGAAATGTGTGATAAGATCAGTTGGACTAAGCTTATTTAACCACTATAATAGCACTGCATGAAACGTGGGTTTATTGGTTGGTTACTTTTATATAGAAATACAGTTTACTCACTCAGATACACTTGGGAATATTCAAATTCAAATCTCCTTGGCTTTGCCTGGTTAGTTAGGACAGTGCAAACCATGCCGGGTTCTTACGGAATTTCGGAGTTATTACAAATCCTTACAAAACACGCACTGCAGCAGTACAATATATCCAACAGGTTTCCTCTATTTTATTTTGCAGGCATTTTTCTTATGTTAACAATTTTTTCGCAAATGTATAAAAGCTTTTGCTCCAGACGGTTAAGTAAATCGGACTCAATTGGTATCAGCGTATTTGTTACATTTTTTTTTTTTTTTCTTCAAATTTATTTAGAATACATGCTCTCTGATGGTTACCTTCTTTTTTGTGATTTCGAAGGTTCACTTCTAGGTATTATTATTTGGTATAATATTTCTGTTTCATCTTATCCGTTTCCCTACACTGTTAGAGTTTAAAATTTGTATCCTCTTTTCTTTTTTTCTTCTTGGGTAGTGAAATTGCTTACTCCTCCGCACGATGCCTACGGGTTCCACCTTGCCTTAGCTGTTTGATGTTCTTGTTGTATATATTAGACGTATAAAATAATCAATAACATTAAAAAAAAAAGTATCGAGTAAAGAAGACACTGAGACATATGGGGGCGGCATATGGTCAGCAGGCACAGGATTTCTTCTGATTCGAGTCCTTGCTTCCGCCAGCCAGGGCGAGCCGGTCCGAATCCATGATTTCTCCCGCGTTTATCTGCTTGTCATTCGTCAGGATCTGCAAGTGCGAAGGCAATCGATCGGTTAGGAAATTTCCCCACTCTCAAATCAAAGTATGTCACATTTACCTTATTGACTAAAGATTTGGCAGCCTCTTCAATGTTGACATTCTCTTTGGCGGACGTTTCGAACCATCCGGCGAAGCCGTACTCCTTCACATACTCATCCAATTTGGCCGGCGTCGTGACAATACCTTGCTTCTGTTGATCGCTCTGAAAAGTTCCAATTACACTCATGTTAATTAACATTCTTCAAACAACTATTCGGCATAACAAGCGCACCTTATTCGCCAACAATATACACGGAATCGGCTTTCCGTCCGGCAGTTGCACTTTCGAGTCGAGATCCTGCTTCCACTTGATGACCGCATCGAAGGTGGCACTTCGCGTCACATCGAACACGATGAACGCTCCGACGGCTTCCTTGTAGTAGACGCGGGTCATGTTGCCGAATCGTTCCTGACCTGCAAGCAAAGTTCATGCACTAGTAAACACTAACTCTAATATTTGACATTTAAGGACCCAATATCCCATACCAGCAATATCCCACAGCTGTAACCGGATGATCGTATTCTGGTCCCAGTTCAGCACTTTGAGGGCAAAATCGACCCCGATGGTGGCCCGGTAGTTTTGGCTGAAGAACTGGTGCACATAGCGCTTGATGAAGGACGTCTTGCCGGTGCCCAACTCGCCAATCACCAGGATTTTGTACAAGTGCTCACGCTTCTCCGTCGGTGCTGTGGACATATTTGACTGAAACAAAAAAAAAGCATAAGAAGATCCGATTAGTGACACTGTGATCAGATATAGATGGAGACGCATGCAACAGGTAGCCAAGGAGATGGGCAAAAATATTGTCATGCCTTTCTGCATTAAATATCATTTCTGAAGCTAAACATCATTTGAAGATCCTGAGGTCATCTACGTTCTCCAAAATGTCCTTGAGTCAAGATCTTGATGTTCTATAGACTCAATGTGACTCACTTCCCGTCATATTCAACACATTATTTGTAAAGCTTCATGATAACATGCACAGCATGGAATGGCATCAATAAGATATTTAATGCTTTCCAAACCATTCTGGAGTTGAGATCTTGAAGTTCTACAGGCTCATTGAAGTATTGAGCAATGTCCTGAAAATCTGTATGAGTCCGTGAACCTCAAGAGAGACTCTTGACAACATACACTTAATGTGTTGGTATCAATGAGATATTTAATGCATTCCAAACCATTCTGAAGATCAGATCTTGAAGTTCTACAGGCTCATTGAAGTCTTGAAAACGTCCTGAAAAACTGCATGAGTCCATGAAGCTCAAGAAAGCTGTTTGGCAACATGCACATCATCGAATGGAACCATTAGAATATTTAATGCTTTCCAAACCATTCAGAAGTTCAGATCTTGAAGTTTTCAGGCTCAATGAAGTCTTGAACAATGCACAATGGTCCCAAAGCCGTATTTAGGAAGACAAAAATGTTTGCGCTCAAACCGTTGTCTTTAGGCATATGGTGTCTTCGGAAAAGTCTCTTCATATTTTTTGGCCGATCATTTCATGTCAGTGAATTAGGGTGGTCCATAAAATGGATGAATTGAAAATGCGAACTTTTTTATTGTTTAAGATGGACCAATGCGATGTTGTAAAAAGTTGCAGAACAATTAATTTGCAGCAACTTTGCTCAAGACACCAAATTTTCATCTCTTATGGTTCATGAGTTATTATTTTTTTTAAACAAGCAGGTTAGGGTGGCTCTGAAAAAAAAATGGTGTTCTATGAATATGTTTTCATAAGTTCATTCCTCGTAAAACAATGTTCTTGACCCTTTTAGAACTTTCGATGACAAATATTTTTGCTCTGAAAACCAAGTTGCTATCTTTTTTATTGGAAAGTTATAGGCGATTTTCTTTTAAAAAAATGCACTTTTCATTTGTCAATATCTTTAAAATCGATCTTTCGAATGGAATTAAAAAATTTAATTCCATTAGAAAGATCGTTATTTTTTACATTGATGGAAAGAAAACTGCGAAAGCGATTTTTGTTTAAAGCATTTAATTTAATTTTTTTCAAATTCATATTTTTATGCATTATTTGATAACTCTTCAAACGAAAGAGATAGTATCTTGATTGCTTGGGCAAAAATGTGCGCGATCAAAAGTTCTAAAAGTATCTACAACAAAGTTTTTGCAAGAAATCAAATAATGAAAAGATAATTATAGATAACCTTTATTCTACGGTTTACCCTAGCTTATATTATAAAACATCAAACATGGCCTACTGGGACTGTGTTACAAACCGTACGAAAAACTATCTCCTTCATAAGAAGAGTTATGGAAATTTTTTGCATAAAAATGTGAATTTAAAAAAAGTAAATTAAATGTTTTAAACAAAAATTGCTCTCGCAGTTTTTCCACCATTAATGTAAAAAATAACGATCTTTCGAATGAAATTAAAACTTTGGAAACCGGTTTGCTCCTGTTAGAGATATTAACAATTGAAAATGGCCATTTTTTTAAAGGAAATAGCCTTTAACTTTCCAATAAAAAAGATATTAACTTGGTTGCTCAAGCAAAAATATTTGTCATTGAAAGTTCTAAAAGTGTCTAGAACATTGTTTTTACGAGAAATGAACTTATAAAAGGATATTCATAGAAAACCATTTTTTCAGGGGCCACCCTAACCTGCTTGTTTAACAAAATAATAACTCATCAACCATAAGAGATGAAAACTTGGTGTCTTGAGCAAAGTTGCTGCAAATTAATTGTTCTGCAACTTTTTACAACATCGCATTGGTCCCTTAAACAATAAAAAAGTTCGCATTTTCAATTCATCCATTTTATGGACCACCCTATTTTCACTGACATGAAATGATCGGCCAAAAAATATGAAGAATCTTTTCCGAAGACACCATACTCCTAAAGACAACGGTTTTAGTGCAAAAATTTTTGTCTTCCTAAATATGGCTTTGGGACCATTGTGCAATGTTTTGAAAGCAAGGGGTAATCGACTCTGCACATTGTGCCGAAATACATCGTGGCACACCATGACAAGTATGATACGAAATATAATATAACATGGCATCATTGTTTTGTGTTGACATTGTGCCAATCGTTGCTAAGGTTTACTTTAGCCGGCGTCGGTGGTGTAGTGGTAAGCGTGACTGCTTTCTCATACCCCAATGGGTCTGGGTTCAATCCCAGCCGAGGTCGGTGGGATTTTTCTGAGGCATACAAATCTCTGGTCACGTCTTCCTTCGGAAGGGAAGTAAAGCTGTTGGTCCCGGCCCATGTGTGTTGATGAATGGGTGCGATATCCTACGCAGGTGTGGAAGCTGCCTTCCTGCACATTCGATTGCCGTCAATGGATGGCAATCGATGTCCGTCGGTGATTGGCACTAGTTTGCGGAACAGAGACCGACGTTAAATAAAGGAATGAAGAAGAAGAAGAAGAAGAGGAAGAAGAAGAAGAAGTTTTACTTTTTCGTTTACTTCAAAGTACGGGGAAAGGGATTATTTTGTCAGTGCCATTTTCCAGCGAAATTCAAGCTGAAAATTGCATTAGGTCCTAAGTAACATTGACAGATTCTCTTCGTCGACTTTCTCTTCGCATCCCCACGGCCATGTAAAGACATTCCCTTGTATTTTAAGCACACAGATCGATAAAAGAAGCTTTTATCTAGCATCTAATATGACAAACACATCAAGAAACGGTTCTGTGCACAAGTTATTAACGAAAGAGAAAGTCGACGAAGAGAATCGATCAATGTTACTTAGGACCTAATGCAATGTTCAGCTTGAATTGTCCTCAATCATATTAAGAGATTGTATAATTGACGAGACGCTCTTTGTCCTTATGCCTTCTGGGGGATGAACCTCTACAAAAAGTCCACACGGCTTTTGAGAGATGCCCATAGTTTCAGGGAAGTTCAAACGAACTAGTAAGAGTCACCACGCCCCGCAGAATAGGCCAGAATTAGCTAGAATTAAGTATTAACTTGTTGGACATATAATCCGGATCGAGAGTTAATTGTATGGGTAAGGAGCATTGCAGCGATAATGTATGATGTCAACAAGACCCCGGTGCCGAACGATCCTACCATTCCTCAGATGTATCTGCAATCGTAGCTGTTTCAGAAAACCACGGTACGGTTGATGGTTCACAATCAGTCAGCCGAACAGCTCATTCAATGGACTGAACTCGGATTCGATTGACTGTGGAGGTCTCTCTACGCTATTTCGCAACTGTTCGTATCACCGACGGCAACAGCAACATTAAGAAAGATGCTGCTGACAGAATTGTGAAGGTAACCACATCGGAGGTAACAGAGCCAATCTGAATCGCGGTCTTAATGAACGCAATCGGAACCAGCAGTAGCTTCAGGGAGATTAATATGCGATTCTGGCATTACCAATGATAACAAATATGAAGGAACGACAGGCAGATACAGTATCGAGATTCCGACATTTGGATAAACCATGCATGAAGCAGTTTGGCAGTCAGACGAATCTAGTACCTAACCACGACTGCTGACACTGGGAAGCTACTGGAGGTCTATTGCTGCTGCTACTACCAACAATCAAAACGAAACTAACGATTTTAAATTGGCTCACTACTTGACTAGCCTATTGGTCCCAAGCAAACGATTAACGTGCCCCATTCTAGTCGAAATTCTAGTACTACACAATGTTTGTTTTGATTCGCTATGAAAGTTTGACAGATAAAATGAGGGGTTAGTGGATTTTCCTATGTTTCGAGGGGTGAATCGATTAGCTTGGGACCGAAGAGAGTACCAGAGCTGAGCCAAAAAGTGGAGCACGTTTCTTCGGGACGCCGGTTGGAATTTTAGATCGAGTCCTTCCTATTTTTCAGATGGTAGCATTGCCCGAGTAGCATGATGATATTGCAGACAAGATTCATCTTCCACTTGCCGGTTAGGTACTTGGTTTAGGCAAACGTCTGCCAGAATGACGCACGGTAGGGAACTCTTCTCCTTCACGCGGAGAGGCTAATCTTCGAGTGCCATTTTCTTGAAGTGGATGACCGGCAAGCAGCTCACATAATCTCAAAAATCACAAGTGCAGGGATGCCAAACTCATGGGTTACTGAGACTAATAGCTTGATTGTCACACTTCGGCACGTTAGGCACAACGCTTGACCTAGCTTCGGCTCAGATAAAGTACTCGTCACAGATTGGAATGTGCAGAGTTGAACAACCCTTGTTTGAAAGTCTTTATAAACTCGAGAAGTTCAAGAATGGTTTTATGATTTCAATAAGATATGTAATGCACACCAAACTATTCTAGAGCTAAGATCTTGAAGTTCTAAAGATAACTTGAAGCGAACTGATAAGATTTTTTTGCAGTCACTTTAACATTCTTCGTGACATTCACGGAAGAGCAATTGACACACCTCAACAAGGCGCTAGGATACGTGGCTACAACCAAGCCAGACGTGGAGCAGATCATCACTGATGTGGAGACATCGATTTGCAAGACACTGCCAACATCATCACAGAATATGGTCAGGACAGTATACTATGTGAAAGCAGACAAGGGCAACGCGGTCGTTATCATGGACAAGGACAATTACGACAATCAAATGACAACGAAAGCCCCTTTTCCACTCTCCGCATTCGGCAGACATCCCGGTCCTGCGCTTGAGTCGAAGAACGAGGTTTTCCGAAATTGTTTGCCCGACAACGGACCTACTTGCACACCATTGTTACGAAACGCTACCTCTACTGCTTCTGGACCAGCACCA